CATTGAAACAAACTAAAAGTTAACCCACAACCTTGTAATGATTAATATTTTCTTTAGAAGAAAATAAAAAATAAGTCCCAATGTACGTTATACATTGATTATCATGAGGTTTTCAAGTTTCTTACCTGAAGTTTCCTACTGGTACTTTAACAGCACTCATTTGACATTATGAAAAAGTTGAACTTAAATAAATCCTCGCTGGGTAGGTATAATATGATGAGGAATGTGATCTTAAAAGGCAAAAAGATTATACAGAGTTTTGTTTATACTTCACATTCTCCACCCATTACATTATGAAGCACATTAACCTTTTGTTAAAGGCTTAACCATCTATAAGTTCCTGGCCAACTATTTCCATTGAATTTTGCCTTTGCTATCATAGAATTGACTCCTCCCCAACAATGAGGTATGTCTGGATGTATCTAAAATAATGACAGGATAATTAATAGTCTTGGGACGATTATTAAAAAGTATGTGAAATTAACATCCCTCAAACTTATGCAACATAAAATTATCTTATTAATTATACAAAGAATTTTGTAATAAGTGTCTTTATATTCATTTATTTAGCTGAACTTTATAATGATAGGAGTGGATAGTTTGATTATTCTTTGCCATTTATTAAAAAGGTACAAATTAGGATCAATAAATGTTTTAAAGGTGTGCACCTTCATTATGCAATATCCTTGAGAAACCAAATTACTCTTACGTTTCTTTGTGCAACCAGTACCAGTACTCATTCTTGACACTGGCAACCAGGGGACCAGGGAACATCCACACAGACAAACCTAACAAAAGCACTTCCTTTTTCAAGTTAACGTTATCCTGAAAAACAACGAACACAACAGATCTGAAAACTTCTTACACATACATACAAGGGCTGTCCGGAAAGTATCCAGCCTTCGTTAATAATATAATTTTGCATATTACATGGCTGGAAACTTTCCAGACAGCCCTTGTGTACTATCCTTCTTTCTTCATCTTTTACAAGGGGGCACTGTATTTTATCAATAAACTTTCTATTATTAAAGCAACGCAAAGATAAGTCTTTTAACAATTTTTCAAAAATAAGACATAAACAGTGACAATAAAAGTTTTGAAAGTCCTGAGTAATCAGCCTTAGGGTTCTGTCTCTTAGAAAGGACCTTCATAGAGCTCAGGGATATTTGAGGCCAGACCTAAACTGACTGCCTTAACCCCAACATCACTGGTTTTTTTTTTCCGTTGTTTACTCTGTCTAGTCTCTGAAAAGCATCTGCATATAGATTAATCTAAGTTAACACTATTTTTATCAAGAGAACAGTAAATGGTGAAATTGCTTTGCTCTTTATTTAAGTGTAATTGACCATCTATAAATCAATAGTCGTCAAGAAATTCACTGTAAATCACATATTTTGGAACGTTTTCTAGTTTTACCTGTTTCATAGTTCTCAGTCCAGCCTGAACAAAACACTTTTCCTAGAGACGATTAACTCCATGCAGTGCTGTCCATAAGCTATTCCATATGCCCCATCTACCGTGCAGCAACGTCTCTCTGGAATATGTGCACGGAGTTTTAACCTGCTGTGCTAAGGGTGGAAGGTCCTCCTATGGATGACTGTATTTCCTGCACCTTTTATTCAAACAAATTTTGGTACACATGGGCCAAAATAAATTAACGTTCTCATCTATACTAATTCATATGTCAGAAAAATAAATTCATAAGTTTGTTGGGAGACTAGGGAAGAGGAGTCATTTTATAATTTTCCACTTTTTGCTTTTTACCAAATAAAAAGCAGCCTGGAACTGGCCCGTTTTTAACATTTGCGAGGTCAGGACAGGAGGACAAATGGAAACCCTAGCCTATACTCCCTCCCATATTCACTCACCACCTCACGTAAAAGTATCTGGACAAACCAAGTCTCAAGTTGAAGCTCTGTCCCCCTCCTATCTTTCAAGCAAAAAGTCACCACCTGTCTGTCCTTCAAGCTTAGGGGTGCACGTGCCGAAAGCCGAGGTCTGCCCTTGGAAGGATGACATGGGAAGAAAGCTTCACAGGTTCCCCGGCACTATCGAGCAGAAACAAGCCCTCTCTCTTTACTTTGTCTGGATTCCTGAACCACAGCATCCTTGAGATAATGACATGGTTTTTTTTTACATCACAATTTTGGGGGATAGCTTGCTACATAAAAACAGATAACCTAAAATACTATTGAATTGCTTGTGTGTGTGTATGTATTTTAGATATGTATGAATATATGTCAGATGAAAAATGTCAAAATATTACAATAAGTAATAAAGATATTTATAATTTTATTATACAGCAGATTGTACATCCACTCTTAGTTGAATCACTTAGTATTTTGACCAGGTGTTATGGACCTTTCCTGACTTTTCCAGTGTAGGGTTCTATAGCAGTAGGTTCATTTGTACAGGTTGGTTAAAATTATTACATATTTCTATGTGTGTATTTTTAGTACTGTTTGAAAAGTAATTTAGAATAATTTTGTGGTGTTTTAATAGCATTTATTATACAATAATATGTACATCTAGGGGAAGAAGAAACAGATTCTTCAAACCCAAGCAGTTTGAATAGAACTAGCATAGAGATTCTTTGCAACAAAACTTATTTTCAAAGCTCTAATGAAACATAAATAGAACAATTATTATTCTGTACAGAAATTACTTAGGTAACCATAATCTTCAGGGGTCTTTATATAATAGACCTTGAATCTTCAACCCAACAATATCTGACTTAGATGTTTATACCTTTGAGTGCTCCTCATTATACTTTTTCTTAACTTCTTTTTTTTTTCCACAATTTTTTTTTTTATTTCAGCATATTATGGGGATACAGATGTTTAGGTTACGTATGTTGCCCTTCCCCCCCCAAGTCCGAGTTTCAAATATGTCCATCCTTCGGGTGGTGCGCATTGCACTCTTTGTGTATGCAAATACCCATCCGCTCCTCCCTCCTCCCCCCTCCCCCCTCCCCCCTGCTCAACGTCCAATAGATGTTAGTCTTATATGTACACTTATGTGTTGATCGGTTAATACCAGTTTCCTGGTAAGTACATGTGGTGCTTGTCTTTCCATTCTTGGGATACCTCACTTAGTAGAATACGTTCCAGCTCTATCCAGGAGTATACAAGAGGTGACACCTGCACCCGAATGTTTATAGCAGCACAATTCATGATTGCAAAGATGTGGAAACAACCCAAGTGTCCATCAATACATGAGTGGATTAATAAAATGTGGTATATGTATACCATGGAGTACTATTCAGCTTTAACTTCTTTTTAATCTCCATTTCCTGATTTTTTTCCTCACTTCCCATTTGCTACTGGCTACTGACAATAAATGTTCTTGAAGAAAAAGAGCCTAAGTGAAGAAAGCACACTATCACAGTTCTACTCTTTTTTTCTCTTGCTTTTATAGTTAGAAATTTTCTTTACACCAAAATCTGCATGATGTGAGGTCTCATCAAACCAAACCTCACCTCCATGCAAACCACCTGTTTCAACACCTGCACTATCTCCTTCCTTTGGAGACATTTTGGCTTTTTTTCCAGAAGGCACCCATGCTTATGGAACAATCACATTTGGTGATGTTTCACACATTGACCGCCACACTAGAAAAATTTTTTTTTCCCTGGGGCCACAGTGTTTTATTACAAAAATGAAATAAAAACTTTGAAAACAAAACGATCATTTCTAACTTAATGAAAAATTTGTCTTTATTGTTTTCTGTGTTTTTTTCAATAAAAAAGTAATATAAAAATTTGAAAATTGATAATATAAAGAGTACTTTGAAAACTAGTTCATAAAGGTTAAATGTTTTTCTTGACTTGTCAGGCTGAAATGTAATTTAAAGGTAAACATAAATGGAAAAATGAAATTGATTCACTTCATTTAATCCACATTTTTAGAATTAAATTGTCAATATTAATTGTAACAATAATAACATCAACAAGTAAGATTTGCATGAACCAACTGCAGGGTTTTGCCCAGGTTTTGCTTCATGGGGCCCCAGCCTTAGAACTAGCGTGAGTTAAATATAACTCAAAGGGCAGTTAATGTGTTAACACTCCTCTTATTGAAGGGGGTGATTTGGTGATTGTGGAAAATCAAACTATTCCCATTGTGAGGAAGAAGAAACGAGACACAAAAAAATGAAGTGAATCAACAGCCACATTGCTACTTAAGCAGAATTAAAAATCAAGTCCAATTCTTTTTGCTCAATTGACACTGCCAATTTTTGTCACTCAGAATTTCTAATTTGACTGTGTACCAAAGAATATTTTTTTAATTCCATCAAAACAGAAGCCCTTAGTAGTATTTTACCTTAGATTATCATATTCAGTTTAAAATTCCAAAAGTTAACTCATTCAATGTATCTGTAATCCTAGCATTTTGGGAGGCTGAGGTGGGAGGATCGCTTCAGGGTAGGAATTTCAGATCAGCCTGAGCAATATAGCAAGACCCTGTCTCTATAAAATATATATTTGAAAAATTAGCCAGGAGTGGTGATGTGCACCTGTATTCCCAGCTCTTTGGTAGGCAAAGGCACGAGGATCATTTGAGCTCAGAAGTTTGAGGTTGTAGTGAGCTATGAGAATGCCACCATTCTGTAGCCCTGGCAACAGAGTGAGACCCTGTCTTAAAAAAATGCATTTTAAAAAAAATAAGTGATTTTTTTTAAGGATGGAAACTGATTTTCTAACTTATCGCCATAAGATTTTCATGCATTGATTTTAAATTAAAAATTATCTGGAAAATGTGGTAAAGTCATTGGAATTATTTTTAACGTGTAGTGGGATAAAAGGGGCAAGAATATACTGACATTGTGGATGAAATGAAATTTAAGAAGGAAAGGAAAAAGAAGAAACAGTTTTTTTTTTTTTTCATTTTATAATGTTTTCAAAAGCCGCTTAATGAACTGTATTCTGAGTTTGTAAATAATTTTGCTTGGTCTTCGGAGAACAGGACAAAATGAAAAATTCTGCATGAATTCAGTTTGAAAATTATTTATACTTCTTTAGTGACATTGAATCCTGTAAGATTATTTTCATTTGAGAAAAAGAATGAGCAAATGATATTGGCTTTCGTGACTTCGTTCTTTTATCTCTAATAAACAAGCCATAAAACATAAAATTAGACTCTTGTTTATTTCCTTGGGTTTCACTTCAGACTTCACAGGATGT